GCGCGCCGGCCCTCGACCGCCGCCCGCCGCGCGCCCAGCAGCGGCGTCCGCTCGTCGCCTGCGCCCGCCATGCGCCCCACCGCTCACCGGCCGCCCGACCGCCCCGCCAGCAGCTCCACTGCGTTGTGCTCAGCCCGGCTCTGCCGCCGCCGCCGCCCTTCTCGCGATACTGGGCTCGCCGGCCTTCTCGGCCCGCCCCGCGAGCGTCCCTATTGGGCGAGCCCGCCGTGTCTCTCGCCGGGACTTCCGGTTCCGCCCCGGAAGCTTGCCCGGGCGGGAGACCTGCTTCTGATAGCCGTGGTGCGGCAGGGTAGGAGTGTGACCACAGAGGGGTTTTTAAAAGTGAAATGAGAGGCAGGCCCTCCGAGGTTCCGAACCCAGACTTCTTACGGAGGCTTCAGCCTCTGCCTGCCCTCCAGGCTAGTTTGCTCAGGCTGGCCCCTGCTCCCGCGCCCGGCCTCCTGCCTCCCTGCCCTAGGACCAGGTTTCTCTGTGCTCTGTTGACATTGGGAGCAGAGAGTTCTTTGTGGCGTGCGTTCTGTGCATTCTAGGATGGGTAACGGCATCCCTGGCCTCTCCTGCACTAGATGGCCGTGCCACCCCGCTCCCCAGTTTTGACAATCAAATCTGTCTCCAGACGTTCCCAAATGACCCGCGGTGGAGCAAAGTCGCCTGCACTGAGAACCACCGCCTGAGAACAAGCTCAGAGCCTTGTTTCCTTGTCGCATGACTGGCCTCCTGTGTTCCTTCAGCCCTCAACTGGAGTGCTGACTCCTTGTAAGCATTTCTTGACCAGCCCATCTAAAGTGGATCCCACGCCCATCCCCTGACCCTGTTTTAGTTTCCCCCATGGTAACTGCCACGTTTTTTTGTTTATTCCTTTGTCCCCAGCTTGTATGTGGTCCCCACAATGATGACTCCGTGGTGGCAGGGTTCTTGTGTCTCTTGTGCCTCACCATGCCCTCCAGCACCTACACCAGTGTGGGACATTACACCGGAGTGGAGCGGAAGACTGTTCTCCAGAAACGGCCTCCAGCATGGCTTCAGAAATTGGGACCCAGAGCTGCCATAATTCAGTTCATCTGAGACCATTTCTTCTTCTAACTCCAGCTAAAACCAGGATGGAGCAATTACCTAGGAAGTGGGCTTGCTGGTAGGTCATCTGGGTAAGTAGTCCTTCCTAAAAGGCTTAGAAGTAGCAGGCATTAACTTTTTTATTTTTCAAAATGTCTGACATCTTGACTGTTGCCTAGCAAGGTGCTGGCATGCAGTGGGCAGTAGATACATGTTTAATGAGACAATAATCGGATGCCAGAATAGGACTTGTCCCACCCTTTCCATCAGTGCTAATCATCTTCAGCTGTCAGCTCAAATGTCACTTTCCTGATCTTCCCAGATTAGAACAGATCCCCCTTTTATATGTCATTAGAGCACAGTGTACGTTTTTCTTACATCGCACCCATTATAATTTATAATTATTTATTTTGTGAAGCTGTTTAGTAGCTGTCTTCAAAGCTAGGAGGGATGAGATTTTGTTTGTTTTGTCCGCTACTATATTCCTAGAATCTAGGACAGCACTCGCCAGTGATAGATATGTGTGGAATTAACTGAATAAATGAATGACTGAATATTTGTTGAATTGTAAATGGTGCCGGAAGAATGTCTTATGTTCACCTAATTTTTTTTGACACTCTCGTGATGTTCTGCAGCATGTATTACTATCCTAATTTCGCTAGTGGAAAAAGCAAAGCCCTCAAGATTCCGGTCTAGGATCACACATCTCGTAGACATTAGAATTCAGACTTGAGTTAAAAGGCTCAAAACGAATTCCTAGTCCAGTGCTTCTTGTACACCCCAGCTGGTACATACGTCAAAAACTATGAGTTTCTGTTTTAAGACTGACGGCATGATACGCTCAGGCAAAGAGCAGAATAACATTAAACGTGGAATGAAAATAAAGCCATTTAGCTTGAATCATGTGGTGACTTAGTGGTGACGCTCTGCCCAAAACAGATGTGCCGTTTTGGATGACAGCAAGCTAACCCAGTTAGGTTGTCTTGTTTAAGAAGGATAAAGCCAGGTGAAAGGGGGGTGGGAGGTGGAAGGCGGCAGTTACAGAGCTTAGGATGTGCACCCAGGACTAGTGAGCACTTGTTGCTGGTCCGTGGGAGGTCTGCTATGCACCCCAATCTGGGTACCCAGAGGCTGCAAAACAAATCCAGCGAGCAGAAATGTTTTCATTTGGTTGTGATGTTTAAAAGAAGCGAACCAAGACCATATAATTCAAGATTCCATTTCTGTGAAATGTCCAGAGTAGGCAACTCTATAGGGACAGAACGCAGACTGGTGTGTGATTGCCAGTGCTGGGGGGAAGGGAATATTGGGGAGTGACCACTAAAAGGTGTGGCGTTTCTTTTTGTAGTAATGTAATGTTCTGAAATCTTGGTGATAGTTGCACAACTCTGTGAATATACTAAAAACCATTGAATTGTACACTTGAAATGGATGAACTGTGTGGTATGTGAATTACATTTCAATAATGCTGTTACCAAAAAAAAAAAAAAGTGAGCCAACAGTTAAAAATTGGGAGGTTTTGGGCTTCCCTGGTGGCGCAGTGGTTGAGAGTCCGCCTGCCGATGCGGGGGACACGGGTTCGTGCCCCGGTCCGGGAAGATCCCATGTGCCGCGGAGCAGCTGGGCCTGTGAGCCATGGCCGCTGAGCCTGCGTGTCCGGAGCCTGTGCTCCGCAACGGGAGAGGCCACAACAGTGAGAGGCCCACGTACAGCAAAAAAAAAAAAAAAAAAAAAAAAAAAAGGGAGGTTTCACATATAAATTTGGATGCACTGCTGCCCTTGAAAAAACAGACGGGAGCCTTGGCAACACTGGGGCGCGTGGCTGCCTGTGACACTAGTGACCACCTCCCGCCCCTGCTTGAACCACGCCTCTGGTATTTGCGCCTTTACGCATTCTTTGCAGGTCACAGTGCCAAAGGGCTGAGACTGTGACCTGCTTTGGTGAAGAGACTGTGGCAGAAGCGTCCCTGAGCCAGGTCTGAGCGTAAACCTTAAGAATTTCTTCTGTGCCTTGGGAGCCCTGAAACAGCTACCTTGCTGGAGAGACCATCTGTGCCTTGGGGGCCCTGAACCAGCTACCTTGCTGGAGAGACCATCTGTGCCTTGGGGGCCCTGAACCAGCTACCTTGCTGGAGAGACCACGTGTTGGGGGAGATCCTGCCGCTACATGGAGAAGGGGTCCCGATGCCTCAGCCTCCCAGCCCACCTTCCCGATGAAGGAAGACACACAAGTAACCACCAGCAAGACCAACAGGACAAACTTCCCACCTGAGCCTCCACCCAGCTCGCAGAGTTAACAGATGCAGGTGAACAAATAATTGTCATGTTAAGCTGCTAAGTTCTGGGGAGGTTAGTTAGGCAGCATCAGGTAATGAAAACATGCCTGCCTTCCCCCAGAGCCATGATCTGCTGACACCAGGTAGCCGCCCCTACCTTTAGACGGGGCACCAACTGTCTGGCTTACACAGATCCTCCCAACTCTCTGTTGTCTTATTTTTCTCCCAGTAGAGAAATTATTCCCCATATCTGCACTGTCCACTGCCCAACTTAAATTCGTTCAAATTTCATACAGTGAAATACTTTGTTTCTCAAATCATACCAGCCACATTTCAAGTGCTCAGTGGACCCAGGTGACCAGTGGCTGCCATATCGGACAGCACAGTACTGATCACTCCACCGCTACAAACTTCTGCTGGACAGCCCTGCTCTATATTAATGTGCAGTGGGCCCGATTGGCTACTTGTCACCAACATCCACACCCTCTTTCTCCCTGCTCCCCACCAGCTACCCATAGAGCTCAGAAGAAACTAGCTTCATCTTTGAATCTGGATCTGACTAGTCAACACCAGTGCTAAGTCTCTAACGCGTCTTCACAGTGTTCAGAAACCCGGACTCTAGCCATTCTGAATGTGAATTTCCCCTGGGGCCCAGGAGAAGACAAGTGACATAGATGGGCCCAGTCAGCCTGAAGGAAAGGACTCCAGTGACTGCAAGAGAGATACACCCTTCCAGACCAGGCATGAATTAGGACGCCCATAGCCCTAGTTGCTGGGGCGGGGGGCAGCTATTTCACAATCATGTGATAAACCAGTGTAGGATGAAGCCAGCTGTGTGGATAGCACAGTAAAGAATCAGAGGGCTTCCCTGGTGGCGCAGCGGTTGAGAGTCCGCCTGCTGATGAAGGGGACGCGGGTTCATGCCCCGGTCCAGGAAGATCCCACATGCCGCGGAGCAGCTGGGCCCGTGAGCCATGGCCGCTGAGCCTGCGTGTCTGGAGCCTCTGCTCCACAGCGGGAGAGGCCACAAGAGGCCACAACGGGGAGAGGCCTGCATACCCCAAAAAAAAAAAAAAAAAAAAAAGAATCAGAGAGATGTCACATAACAAAAGATAGTAAATTTGACATTGTTTAAGCCACCGTGTTGGATTTTCTGTTATGTGTAGCCCCAAACCACCTATTGTGATTCGATCAAAAAGTGGGAAAATAAAAAATATAAGGGGAGGGCAGCCTGATATTTCTCCCTACACACACAGCCCAATTCACTCTTAGAGTTTTCTCTCAGAAAACTGCTCGCAGGCTCTAGAGACCAGGCTTCAGTAGTTGTGGCATGTGGGCTCAGTAGTTGTGGCTTGCGGGCTCTAGAGCACAGGCTCAGTAGTTGCGGCTCGTGGGCTCAGTAGTTGTGGCTCGTGGGCTCTAGAGCACAGGCTCAGTAGTTGTGGCACTCGGGCTCAGTAATTGTGGCTCACGGGCTCTAGAGAGCAGGCTCAGTAGTTGTGGCTCATTGGCTTACTTGCTCCGCAGCATGTGGGATCTTCCCAGACCAGGGCTCAAACCCATGTCCCCTGCATTGGCAGGCGGATTCGTAACCACGGCACCACCAGGGAAGCCCTCTTAGAGTTTTCTGCCTGATCAGTGAGCTTGCAGCCTGTGTACTAAGCCCCAAGAATTGAATACCTAAAGAACTGATAGTTGATGTACGTTGAGTGTCACCACTTTGTTGGGTATACTTGTGATACACCCCCTGTTCCTGAAAGTAGTTGTGTGAGTCTCTCCCATGCACCTAAAATAATCAAGTAAATAAAAGACCTAACTCACACAGCAGGTGTCCAGGGATAGGTAACACCGTCTTATCAAGTTTTACGGGCAGCCTCTTTGCCTCCAGGGCCCTCTGGGAGGACCTTACCGCAGGTATGCTTGTGGTGTGGACTAGAATTGGAAATGCGCTGTTTGCTCAAAACCCAGGGCCCTTCCTTCTCCGCCGTCACCCTGTCCCCTATGCCTTTCTCAGAGCAGAACTCAGAGAAGATGCTCTCTGATGGGAGGTATTCAGAAACCACCCAAGGTTGAGGACATTTCAGGGGCTGCCCAATTTCTCTGACTTTTTTCATGATATTTCTGCTTCTCATTTCACATCCGCATGGCTCAGCCCTTGCGACCAGACAGTGGCATGTGCCTACTCACAGTTTCAGCTTCCTCAAAACGCTAGCTTACAGATAGTCATCTTGGACTTTCTCCACCTCCACGCATCACTCGCTCGATCCACAAACGGCTGAACACCTTCCCCACACGTCGTGATGGCTCATTGTCAGTGCTCACAGCCAGTGCTTCTGCTTTTCTGTGTCCCAGTTCCCTGCAGAGGAACTTAAGCCCAGCTCACCTTTGTGCATCAGGCCATGGCATAGGTCATTAGCTAAAGTCGCA